TCCCCTTTCTCAAATCAGGCTGTTCTGAGATTCCTGTCAGAATGACGTAGTTCTATACAGGCCCCTCCCACGATAGTTGATTGACAGTAGTGTTTCAGCACAGACTGGACTGGTGTCTTACCTTAGACCCGCCCTGACTGAGCTGTCATCAGTCCGCCATTGTGTCGACTCCGGTGCAGGGGAAGACAAGAATGTCTCAGATTAAGCGATTGAGGTGCTTTATTATTGGATGTAATAATGAATATAGCAGTCGTCATTTATTTCCGACATCTGAGCCGCTGAAGACGCACAGGATTAACGTTACTTTCGCTTTGAAGTGAATGCGCTGATCCCGATCTGCCTAAATGCGTCTATGTTCGCGCGAATCATTCATGATCCAGCCTCATCTACAGAAGAAGTGAGTATGTTTTGTAATGAATCTTTGCGAATCGCCTTTCCTAATAATGTGCTAATTAGCAAGTTTCACGATGAATGAGGCTACTGTAAACAGTCTCTCTAAGAGCAGCTCGGAAGAGAGGGGCAGAGCTCATTAACATTTAAAGCAACATGGACTCTAATGGCTTGATAAAAGCAGAGCTGATTTTGACCGGTTTAAAAAGGTGTTTTTACACTACCATTGAGAAATTAACCAAAGTATGTTATAGACTTTTAATTAAGACCCTAAAGAATCATATCAACTTTGTCAACTTTGACAAAATTCTGAAGTAGAAAGACAAACTTGTTTGTAAAACTCTTATATTCGATGTAAGGGATCAATCTTTGATATATATCAATGAAGATATTCCAGCATATTTTATTTTTATTTTTTTGTATTTTAGAATAATTAATTTAAAGGGGTCATATGATGCTTTTTTTAAAGATCATTAGTTTGTGTATTTGGTGTAACAGAATATGTTGACATGCTTTAATGTTCAAAAAACACATTATTTTTCAAATACTGCTTCAACACTAACTGCGGTTACTGAAACCACGCCTTCTTTCTTTGCGTGCACATTTGGGCGCATTATGCAAATATTCCCACATAGTGACCTAGATATGTGGGTGCGTGTTAGAACGAGCCTTTTTAGGGGGGTGTGGCAGAGTCTTAACTTTGATAAAGAATATCTCTTTGGTTTTGAGACTTTAGTCTTTGCAACTTCAGGGATCTTATCTATTCACGAACAGCTTGTAACATTCCAAAGAGAAAGGAAAACTTGAAATCGCATCATATGACACCCTTTAAAATAATTTCAATAACTTCAAGTTTACATTTAAATTCAAAACTAAACAAAAATGAATCTGTCAAATCAGCCACCACTCCAAATCCTTATACAGTTCATAAATTGTGTACATGGGTTAGTAATCTCCATGTACAGTTTACTAATCCATAACTACAGCTGATTTTTTTTCTCTCTGCCAGGGGCACAGAGGGGGTTCTGTAAACATAATTAAATAGCACAGGGATATTTTTGGAGGGCGAGTGTTTGTACTGTAGCTCCAGTCTTGTGGGTGATCGGCAGCTGAACTAAAAACTGTCCTGTTAATTTCACCTCCACCTTGGTTAGAGCTTCATGAAGTGGAATTAAATCAGCCCTTCAAACTGGTCCCATGCAGGACGACAGTTATCGAGCGTCAGTAATCACTCTAGTTAAATGCGCATCACAAGAAGATTACAGTACAAATTCAGTATGCTCCAATAATGAGATTTCTTTCATATTTTGGGGGCAGTACTCACTCCGGCTAGGGATTGCTGGATATTCTGTCGGGCTTTAACAATGTCCTGCAGAATGGCACTAGCATCTCTCTCCTGGAAGGGTACAGCGGGGTAAAATGCCCATGTCAAACAAAGCAGCAAGGGGCAGAGAGTGAGCAAGCAAGCAAACAAAAATACACAGGTGCGTACAGAAGCGCTGTCAGTGCAGACTATTCAGCATAGGAGCTTAAAGAAAAGGCAGACGCCTGGAAAAACAGATGATAGATGGACGTACAGCAGCTGAGTAAACAGGAACTCATGCCTCTCCATGAGAACTTTGTCACCCTCATTAATTGAGACAATTACCAGTTTGTGTCAAAACCCAAATGAGAAAATTTTAGACCCTCAAATTGTGCTTTGCTCTGACATCCGGGTCTGTAGGGGGCAGTACCTGAGATGTCTGAGGGATGCCGTTCGTGCCCTCGTAGAAGCGTCTCTCAGCCTCATCGTATGTGGACTTGTCAAACCAGATGTTCTCCTGGGCGAGTCCCTGAAGTCCACTCATTGTGATTCTAAAAACACAAGAAAAATTAGACGTGAGAGTTTGTGCGTCAAAGAGCAAGCATAGAGCTTTAGAAAAACGCAGGGGGGAAAAAAAGCAATTAAAATGCAAGTCTTTCATTAATTTGTAATGGAATTCATTCAGGAGTAAGTGTGCAAAAAGCCTTAAACATAAGCAAATATAAATCAAGCCGAGCAAGCCAAGCACCATCCATATATATGAATGCATATATCCTCCACTATATTGCCACACATTATGGCCATATAGTGGTTACAGAAATTTTTATTTTCTATTAGTTCTCTTGAATTTGGATCCTTACAATTATAATTTCAGTACAGAAATCATTATTAGAGATTTTCCCACATTCAAGCTCTTTTTTTTTTTTTTGCACTCAATACAATTAAATAGTGTTTTAGTTTACATATTGAAAATATTTATTAAAAAAAGCATTTAAATAAAAAAAAATAAGGTTAAACAAGGTTAAACTAACTAACTGCTGGCTTAATTATAGCAGCTGCAACAGACTACTAGCTAAATAGCTAGTGCAAATAATTTTACTGATGTTGTTGCTATCTGAGAACAAAGAACATAGACGCCATAACAATAAACAAACAAGCAAAAAAAAACGTTACATGAACAATATAATATGCTGACAAAAAGGGAATGTTTATTGACTATATATTTATACTATACCTACTGAAACCAACCTATCACCAATTTATACAAACATCTGTCATTCATTATACCGTACATTTCCATACATTCAGTCACTACTTTAAGCAAGTGAAAATAGTATTATCTAGTGAGTAAAATCTATTGTGAGATGCATTGCATCTTGTATTCAAGCAAGTCAAAGACCCCTTGTTGTGAACAAACCCTTCATTACTTACTCGTTCTGATCTAACCATTTCATTCTTGCCGTGAACAGGCCTTTACTGTCAAAGTCAGAATCAGTTATTCAGAATGATAAATTGAAGACTGCAGAGGATAAATAGTAAACTCATACAACCCATAAAAAACAACTTTATGATGCAGGAAAAACTCTTAATTATGTTGTCCAGGTCTTGCATTCACATAGATTTTGTAGAACGGTTATTTGGATTGATTGTTAAAGTCCACTCAACCACTAAAACTCCTTTCATTTATTTTTTCGCTGACATGGGCTGCAGACAATGGGACAGATTTTGAGTGCCAAAGCCCTCGGATTAGTTTCACACCGATCAGCTTTCACCCAGCAGCCAATGGTGACAAACCAGGTTGAGGCCTTTGAAAGGTGAAAAATATTTAATAAAATCCACAAACAGCTCACAAAACACGCCGTTCAATAAATGAGAAGGCAGTTCCTTAAAGTCAACTGTCCCATGCCCCTAAACTAGCCATACTTGTCCCTTTTCTGAGGGGCGCGTTTGGTCTCAGAGAAGACCCTCTTCCTGCTACTTTTTGGTAGCTGCTGGTCGGGTTCAGACGAGGAGCGCTGGTGCGTCGAACCCCGCTGCTGTTGACGTGACGCATAGGAACGGGTGTATGTTTGGTTCTCCTCCTCTTGCAGTTGTTGCACACCGTTGCGTTTAGCCCTGAAGACCAGGGTACGGGGAATTCGATCTTTTGGGGAGGACAAAACCAGAGGTGTCCCAGTCCCTGCACTCAACAAGGATTGATAAGCGTCGTTGGCCTGCTCATATATGCTGCGGTTGAACCAAACCTTCTCTCCTCTAATGCCCTGAGAGGTCAGATCCTGATGGAAACTACCTTCTTCAGAACCCTGATTTTCAGACCGGAACGAACGAGTGCGTTTTCTCTTTCCGTCGTTTGAATTCGGCAGATTCCTTGTCTGTTTGTGTTTAGTTTCTTCTTTGGCTCGAGACCCCCGCTGGTTCTTCATCCTCTAGCTCATTTACAGCATATAAGGGAAAACAAAAAAAGGCAGATGTTGAAGAATTAGTCTGAGCTGATGTTAGATGTCAGGTGGAAACAACCAAGCGCATCCAGAAGCCTTGCAGAACAGCCAGTCCATATCAGCAGAAGACAAAGAGTTCACGAGGGAAACATTCCAATAGGGATTCATCAAGGGAACCAATAAAATTTGTGGAAATTTCGAATTTGTACTGTTTTGTATGTGCAGTATTGTCAAACAATAAACAAACAAGCAAAAAAAAAACGTTACATGAACAATATAATATGCTGACAAAAAGGGAATGTTTATTGACAATATATTTATACTATACCTACTGAAACCAACCTATCACCAATTTATACAAACATCTGTCATTCATTATACCGTACATTTCCATACATTCAGTCACTACTTTAAGCAAGTGAAAATAGTATTATCTAGTGAGTAAAATCTATTGTGAGATGCATTGCATCTTGTATTCAAGCAAGTCAAAGACCCCTTGTTGTGAACAAACCCTTCATTACTTACTCGTTCTGATCTAACCATTTCATTCTTGCCGTGAACAGGCCTTTACTGTCAAAGTCAGAATCAGTTATTCAGAATGATAAATTGAAGACTGCAGAGGATAAATAGTAAACTCATACAACCCATAAAAAACAACTTTATGATGCAGGAAAAACTCTTAATTATGTTGTCCAGGTCTTGCATTCACATAGATTTTGTAGAACGGTTATTTGGATTGATTGTTAAAGTCCACTCAACCACTAAAACTCCTTTCATTTATTTTTTCGCTGACATGGGCTGCAGACAATGGGACAGATTTTGAGTGCCAAAGCCCTCGGATTAGTTTCACACCGATCAGCTTTCACCCAGCAGCCAATGGTGACAAACCAGGTTGAGGCCTTTGAAAGGTGAAAAATATTTAATAAAATCCACAAACAGCTCACAAAACACGCCGTTCAATAAATGAGAAGGCAGTTCCTTAAAGTCAACTGTCCCATGCCCCTAAACTAGCCATACTTGTCCCTTTTCTGAGGGGCGCGTTTGGTCTCAGAGAAGACCCTCTTCCTGCTACTTTTTGGTAGCTGCTGGTCGGGTTCAGACGAGGAGCGCTGGTGCGTCGAACCCCGCTGCTGTTGACGTGACGCATAGGAACGGGTGTATGTTTGGTTCTCCTCCTCTTGCAGTTGTTGCACACCGTTGCGTTTAGCCCTGAAGACCAGGGTACGGGGAATTCGATCTTTTGGGGAGGACAAAACCAGAGGTGTCCCAGTCCCTGCACTCAACAAGGATTGATAAGCGTCGTTGGCCTGCTCATATATGCTGCGGTTGAACCAAACCTTCTCTCCTCTAATGCCCTGAGAGGTCAGATCCTGATGGAAACTACCTTCTTCAGAACCCTGATTTTCAGACCGGAACGAACGAGTGCGTTTTCTCTTTCCGTCGTTTGAATTCGGCAGATTCCTTGTCTGTTTGTGTTTAGTTTCTTCTTTGGCTCGAGACCCCCGCTGGTTCTTCATCCTCTAGCTCATTTACAGCATATAAGGGAAAACAAAAAAAGGCAGATGTTGAAGAATTAGTCTGAGCTGATGTTAGATGTCAGGTGGAAACAACCAAGCGCATCCAGAAGCCTTGCAGAACAGCCAGTCCATATCAGCAGAAGACAAAGAGTTTATACGGGAAACAGTCATCAAGGGATTCATCAAGGGAACCAATAAAATTTGTGGAAATTTCGAATTTGTACTGTTTTGTATGTGCAGTATTGTCAAAGATGACAATTAGGGATGTAACGATGCCCTCCGAGCCGGTTGAAAATCAATGAAAATTTGACGATTCAAGTCGGTTGAGGTGGTAAATGAATTGCGATACAACTGGGTGTGGGGGTTTATATGAATGTATCTCTGCGGGGAACTGACTGTCTTCAAAAATGTTTAGATGGTATTTTCATTTCATCTCCTCTCTGTATAATGCATATTAAAGTAGTGTTTATAAGCGCATCGCTGCTTTGTTTACAGCGGTAATAAGCACCACCTGCTGTCAGAGAGTGAATCTGCGCTCTTTTGCAGCCTGTCTGCTGTTTTTGTTTCATTCATATAAGTTTTAGGTAGTATAAAGTCAGACCATTCTGTTTTTGCCTCAAATTTCGAAACTATACAAATCAAATTTGAATCAAAAACTGCTCATGCTGCAAGTATACAGCATCTTTGTTTGAATCTAGAGATGCACCGATCGATCGGCCAGGGATCGGAATCGGCCGATTTTCCTCATGATCGGAAAATAACACATTTTACATATGATTACTTTAATTTCTGCAGTATTTCTTAACTGAATATAAACTTACTTAACCTGAAAAACTTAGTTTCATAGCTCTCTTTATTCTATTGCATTTATTTGTGCTGTTGTTTGCAATT